ATAGTTTAGATTTTAGTTTATTTATCAATAATTATATAATATATATTTCATTTAGTGTTTTTAATAATTTAGTTTACATGACATTATATTTATATATTTATTTTTTATTTGTTAATCTTTTTATTTCTTTAATATAAGCAATGTAAAAATTAGTGAAAGAAATATATTTTCTTTTTATTTTGCATCTATAAAGTTGATATTTTTTATTTGAATGAACATTATATATATATATATATATATATATATATATTATTTGTTGGGTATGGAATTTTTTTATTTTTTATATAAAAGTATAATAGAAAATTAGTTGACGAATTATATTTGTTTGTCTCTAATTTATTACACATGTTTTCATATTACTTGTCACAATTAAAATAGTTATAAAAGATTTCTAGTATATTCATTTGAATAAAAAAATTATAAAAGTATTTGTAAAATATTTCTAGGAGATTTCATCAAAAGTTTGAAAAAATATGTGAAGAGATTAAGATATATTGATTATAAATTCAAATAATATAACTATTATTCAAATTTAAAATAAAGAATAATGTAATTTCTCACTTACTGAAAAAAAAATGTATTCAATAATTCTATTACTTATTATTAATTTATAAATTAATTGATTATTTTTTCAATCAAATATAAAATAATTAGGGGTCTAATTTGTAAAATTGTTAAATATGTAGGTAGTATTGAAAAGTTGTAAAGTTGATGTGAAAGAGAATATTTTGAGAATATTCTTTTGAGTTTGAGAATGAGTTTTTCGGTTGGAGATGAATTAGTGTTTGATGTGACAGTTACTGCAAAATGGGTTTGAGAATGGGTTTTTCGGTTGGAGATGGTCTAAGTACATGAAGTGGTGATGTTAATTGATAATGACTGACTATCTGAATTTGCAATATATATATGCTATCAATTAATAATTATGCCTGCATTGCATTTTGTAGTGTCTACAATCATATTTAATTCCAAATTAAATAGATGACCCACCTGTGACTCCAGCTGCAAAAATAAAAAAAAAAAAAATGTGAGCCTGTTCGATATTTTTTATTTATTTCAATGCACTCAATAGTCCCATCAATATTTGGCTTTTATTTCTCATTAAGTGGTTTTGTGTATCAAAGTATTAGGTTATTACAGTAACGTCCCCTACTCACGTTGGACACATGTTGATATGTTCATCGATTATGTGGCATGCACACATTGGTGATGTTAATATGTTCACCGATTATGTGGCATGCACACATTGGTGATGTTAATATGTTCAAAAAAAATATATCACCAATGTGTGCATTCCACATAAGCGGTGGACATAATAACATGTGTCAACCGTGGTGATATAGGATATTATATACTCAAGGATAAACCGGCCTACTTGGCCGGTCGAGGAGGCCAAACCGGAAGCAGGCCGAGCCAAAAAGGCGGGAGAATTGGCGCTCGAGCAGATCAAGACTCGACCAGACAAGCAATCGAGCAACCCAACGCTCGACCAGACAAGAAATCGAGCAGTCCAATGCTCGATCAGATACATCGAGCAGTCTATAATTCGATCAGATAAATGATCGAGCAAGTTAGTCGATCCCAGTAGGGTGATCGCTTCGAGAAATTCATAATCGACCTAGTTACGGGCGCGTGTATCATAGGCGCGCGTAGGAGCCTCTGACTGAAATCTCCAGAGAATATTTACCCCATGTGCTGGGGAAACACGTGTCGACAATGTATTGGGTGATGGTGATAACTACCTCTAACGACTCCCAACGTCCTGCGCCACCTCTGACATGTGTGCGGCGTGTCAGAGTACGGACGGGCAGCTTGGGCAGCCAGCTCACCTCATCCGGGCAGCTCTTAGGGCAGGTATCTCACCCTTATATAAAGGGGGTGAGCCTTTCTTCCAAAACACATTCTATTCATTCTCTCAATTCCAGTATACTCATACACATACTGACTTAAGCATCGGAGGCTCTTCACCGGACACAACCCCCGGTGTGAGAATTATTTGTAGGTTTCCGGCGTTCTACCGGCGAGAACCAAGATCTATCCGTTCAAACCGGACCAGGACGCTTACACTTGCATTACGTGGGTAGGAGAGCATTACGCATTATGTGTAGTAGTTGGAATGAAAATTTGAAAAACTGCTGTAAAATGGTATTGCAATTTTTAAACGATGATTATAAAGAGGAATGTTTTGAGAAAATCAGTGAGGTTTTGACATTAATTTGTAATAAAATTATGATGGGAGTTTTTATGAAGTCTGTTACTATGTATTCTTAATATTATATTTATATATATCATTAATAAATATTATATTTCTTAATATGTTAGCTGTTGAAATTCGATAATTTAATTTTATAATATATAATAATTAACAACAAATTATAGTCTTAACCCTTAAATCTATCTATCTAATCGCATTTGTTTCAAGTGTTAATTTAAAGATTAATAGCTCCTGCCTCCTGAGATTGAGATAAAAAGGGCAACGAAATTAACGGTAAAAATTAGTACTTTCGTTATGCTGGCTTAAATTGGGGAAAGAAAAAAAAAAAAAAAAGCTGTCTCAAAAGAACAATAATAATTTCCAGCTGGCAAATGGGGGTATAGTTGGTATTTCGCTCCAAAACAATGTGCTGTTTCTCAACGGCCAAAGTCGGCTCCCGTGACATAAAAGGTATTTTCTATGCATGCGCTCACAGACTTCTAGTATACCCTCTCACCTAGGCCTGTAAACAAGCCGAGTTGAGCTCGAGCTTAAAGTGTTTGAGATCGAACTCGAGCTCATAGCAAGTCGAGTCGAGCTCGGTTTGTTAAGTAAATGAGCCAAAAATCGAGTTTGAGCTCGGCTCGTTAAGGCTTCGAGCTCGAGCCTTAACGAGCCGATCTCGAGGTTTAACGAGCCGAATTATAAAAATTACATAAATTTCACTTTTCGAGCCTTAACGAGCCTTATCGAGCCGAGTCGAGCTAAACGAGCTTTAAATAAGCTCGAGCTCGGCTCGTTAAGGCTTCGAACTCGAGTCGAACCGAGCCTTAACGAGGCGAGCTCGAACCGAGCCGAGTCAGACTCGTTTAATTTAACAGCACTACTCTCACCTAATTCTTAAAAAAAATACTGCATTACAAAAATTAGAGATAAATTATTTCATATCGTTGTTTTTTACATTTTCCCAAAAAAATATGTTTAAGCAAATACCATATTTTTTATAAATGTTGTTTATATTCTCTCAAATTTTTTTAAAATTGACTGGTTGTCGTACAAAATTTAACTTTTGGTTTGATTCTTTTTGGATAATTAGTTAGAGGTTGACATGTCGCTATACCTCTATTATGATGATTACTTAGAACAAAAATGATTGACTTTTTTATATTGGACTCATTAAATTATGTCATAATAAATATAAAATTAATTTATTTTTCCGAAAATGTAAGCATTGTTCCCTACAAATTCACCTTTAGAACTTGATATGTTAATTATATGATGATAAATTTGACTATTTACTCTTTATAAATGATATGTTAATTATTTGAGAATAATTACAATGTGTTTAAAATTTCCCAAATTAAATCTTCCTAATCAAATAATGATAGTATAGGATCTCTCCCAAATAAAATAATTCAGGTTACTCAATTTTCATAATTTAATAAAAAAAAATTAAATACAATAATTCAAGATAATTCAAATTTTACAATTTCATAAAAGAACCAAAACAAACATACCACAAAAATTATTTTAGGCACAAAAAAAAGGTACTATCTTATAGCCACGTAATAGAGCGTAGCGCATGGTGCAGCCACATGCGATCACTACCCATTACCTCACACGCAACCGGCTCTTCCGGTCACCCACACCCCCCTGTCATCATCTTCTCCGCGTTGTCTCCTTTACCAATTACCCTTTTTCATTCACAAACCTAAAAATCAAATTCATACTCAGATTTCATACTAAATTTCGAGCAGAGCAAATCCATTCACAGCCATCAACACTATGAATAGCAATTTTACTTGCCCATAAAAGAGTGATATTCGCAGCCCAATTTTCCAAGCATGATTTCCCGTTTTGCCCCTCCACCCCTCTCCAATTTACCCTTTTCTTGCCCCTCTGCCGCCCGATCCCTCGTAGGCGCTAACCACACCTCCGCTCGCTTCTGCTCGAGATAACTCTCTCATTCAGCCCCCATTTGTTTTCACTTTTGGCCCTTTTTGCTGTTTTGGGGTTAGGTATAGTATACTGTCTATATATACACCACATCGAAGAAAAAAAAAAGATATTCTTTAATTCGTTTTTCCAAATTTGATTGATTGATTGATTGACATTCCCTTGAATGGAGTCCGGTGGGGGGAAGCCGAGCTTCCTTCGGAATATCCTGGTGCGCGTGTTTCTCCTCTGCTTGTTGATCGTCGCCCTCAGATTCGCCTACGTGGTCACAATCCGGGGCGAATCGTGCGACGTGGGCGATTTCTGCTTCTTCGCCCTGCCGGAGACTTTCAACGTCGTCGCCGGCGTGGGCCAGCTTGCGAAGCCCTCGTCGGCGGCGGTCGTATCTTCTTCCGGAAACTCCGCTCCCGCGACGCCGAAGAAGATTCCCGATCTGTGGACGACAAAGGGTTTTCAGAAATCCGTTCAGTTCTACTCCTCGGTGTTTCAGGATCTGATATCCGAAGCCATCCTGAGCCCTAGCTTCAAGACCCTGTGCGTGGACACGGTAACCGGAGCAGATGTGTTTGCTCTGAGGGAGATTGGCGTGGAGGACTCCATCGGAATCTCGAGAAAGGGTTCCAAGCCGCTGGTAGTCCCGGGGCAGGGTTTCAAGCAGCCTTTCAGCAGGAACACCTTCGATTTCGTCTTCTGTGGAGTTGGGGTGGTGGAAAAGACAGTGAAGCCGGGCGATTTTGTGGCTGAGGTTGACCGGACACTGAAGCCCGAAGGGTTTCTGGTAGTCCACACATCGGCTAACGACACGTACAGTTTTGAGTCGTTACTCGGTTTGTTCAATTTCTGTAGATTGGTAAAAAGTAGAGATATCAACGGGTTGGATTCGAAAACTCTGTTCGTTCGAGAAATTGTCCTGCAAAAGTTCACCGGGGAGGAGGATGGTATAAAACAGATTACCGATAAATCGAGCAGTGATTTCACAAACAAATGTTCTGTTCCGGGTTATAAACAGGATCTGATAAAGAAAGCAGAGCCCTTGATCGACGAAGAGCCGAAGAAGCCCTGGATCACGCTCAAGAAGAATGTCCAGAACATAAAGTACTTGCCTTCAATGGTTGACATTAGCTTTAAGTCGAGATACATATATGTCGACGTTGGAGCCAGAAGCTACGGCTCGAGCATAGTGAGCTGGTTCAAAAAGCAATACCCTAAACAGAACAAGACTTTCGAGATATACGCAGTTGAGGCTGATAAAACCTTCTACCCAGATTACAAGAACAAAAAAGGGGTTACTTTGCTACCATATGCAGCTTGGGTGAAGAATGAGTCCTTGTTTTTCGAGATTAACGAGGACCCTGGTCACAAAGAAGTCGAAAAAGGACGTGGGATGGGCCGAATTCAGCCCGTTCAGACCTCGAATGGCTCAACATCCTCGGATAATATTGATGAGATTCAGGGTTTTGATTTTGCCGAGTGGCTGAAAAAAACGGTGGTTGAAAGGGATTATGTGGTGATGAAGATGGATATTGAAGGGACCGAATTCGACTTGATTCCCAAGTTGTTTGAGACTGGTGCCATTTGCTTGATTGACGAGCTTTTTCTCGAGTGCCATTATAACAGGTGGCAAAAATGCTGTCCTGGAGAGAGGTCTGCAAAGTATCAGAAAACGTATGGGCAGTGTCTGGATTTGTTCACCTCTCTAAGGAAAAGTGGAGTTTTGGTGCATCAATGGTGGTGACCGGTAAAAACTTCTGCTATCTACACCTCTTTTCAATAGCGTGTTATATTTCGTAGGACTTTTGTATCTGAAAAAAACGGACGATGATGATGTTCTGGCCCTTTTCTCTCTGGATACACTCTCTTTGTTCCTTTTGATTTTGGTTGTGTCGCGAAATCATATTGTATTTACTTTTTTTGTTTTTAAAGAAGTTACAAATAGTTGAAAATTTGATAAGTCTTGTTCTGCAAAAACTCTTCTCGAATATTGTTTTTCGGTGCAGTGTAGTTATCAAATAGCTCGTAGATTGTGTTCATTAAGAATGCTTGTGAACCTTTTTATATGTTGTGTTGGGTTCATTCTGGGTTGTTGTTAACTTTTTGCAAAGATCTGTTGATAGTATGAAATGATCATAGGGAACAGCACAAACACCTTTTGGAGCAAAGATGGTCGGTTTAAATTTTTCCTTAGATTGTTTGACAAGCTCGATTATGATTTTCGTATAATGCATCGTTGATTCTGTTCAAATGAAACGTGTTGTTCGTATAACGATATCGGCATTTCTAAACTTGGTACCTTCACTAGAACTTTTAGGTAGTTCTTCACATGAATCACTTAATCCCTTTTCATGTGGCATTCAATTTGAGGCACCATTTGTACAAAGGAATAAAGAAAGAAAAGATACAATAATAATGCTATAATAAGAGTGCCATTCATTATTGTGGCCTATAACCAAAACCACCCAACGAAGAAAGAAAGTAGTTATTATATTTTGATGAATGATAACAACATTCTGAAAACTGATGATTCAATCATCAGTCTTTTGTTTTTAAAGAAAAATATTGTATATTTTTAATGTCTTAATGTATTATCATTTTGTAGTGTAAATATTAGCTATTGCAACATTTTTTCAACATATATGTATACTGTTAAAACAACACAAATAAAATAAAAGTATGAGAGTTAATTAGAACATATATGCAAATTTGTA